CCCCATATAGCGTTGACGCACTTGAAGCAGATTTTGCCATTCCCATGGTCACAGTGTCATATCCCTTTCTTGGGAATCAAACTGACTCCTAAGCTATCAGACCTTTACGCAGCTAATTATCTTCCGATGCTAAACCACCTTTCTGCCCTTCTGACCAAATGGTCTTCCCTTCCCCTCGCATGGCTAGGCAGAATAGCAGTTATCAAGATGTCAATCCTCCCAAAAATTCTATATCTGTTTAGAGTCCTCCCAGTCCCAGTCCCCTCTCATTACCTCCACACACTGCAGCGTCACATCTTTTCCTATGTTTGGGGCAATACTCGTCCTCGTATACCTCGCTCCACCCTCTATCGTCCTAAGCTCAGTGGAGGTCTAGGCCTACCCGATATCAGCAAACATTTTCAAGCAGAGCATTTAGCCCAGTTACCTAAATATCATGCAACTTTTGAAATCCCTCAATAGGTTGCGCTTGAATCGATAGAATGTGACCCCTTATCTACAGCTAACTTAATCTGGTTGAGGCCAATAGACCGCCGCTCTATAACCAACCCCATCACTTCTCACTTTCTATCCTGATGGAACAAACTGAAAACCCATTATCTCCTCCAATCACTACATAATCCTATGCTCTCATTCCTGCGAAACCCAGTTTTTCCCCCGGCCTGGCAGACACCCCGTTTATTCAAAGCCTGGTCCTCTGCTAATTTACTCCGTACACATAATTTTCTACAGAGGAATAAGTTTAAATCCTTTGCCTCGCTGCGGGAAACGCATAGGCTTCCAACCTCCGAGATATTCCGATACTTGCAGCTACAACACTTTTACGCCCCCTACACCACAATATCCAATCGGCCAGACAACATGTCTCTCTTTCAACGAGCGTGCTGCAAAGACCCTCATAGACGTGGGCTTATCTCCTGCTTATATTCACTCTTCACTACTTCGATTACCACGTCCCCCCCTCTATGAACCCATAAGTGGGAAGTGGATTTGAGTAAGGAATTCGACCCGTCTGAATGGGACCGCATTTGGGCCAACACACGAAATCATCCTCACAGAACATTGTAGCTTTGGAAACGAATTATAAAGTCTTAACCCGCTGGTACTTGGTCCCGGCGAGAATCGCAAAATTTACCCCTAATTACTCGCCCAACTGGTTTAGAGGCTGTACAGACCCAGGAACACATTACCATATGTGGTGGGAATGCCCAATAGCCCAAATCTTTTGGGATGAAATTTTCACCATGATATCTACACTTAGCACTATCACCCTACAACCTGACCCAACAACAGCCCTACTCAATCAATGCCCCCCTGGCATCTCCAATTCGCAATTTAAGCTCATCATGCAAGTTACGACGGCGGCTAAGCAGGTTATAGCGAAATCCTGGAAATCCCCCACCCTAAGTGTCGCAGCTGTCAAAACCAGAATAACACAAGCCATGATACATGCAAAGGTGGAAGCCACAATTCTTGACACGATTCCTAAATTCTTGTGCATATGGAGAGCCCCTGGGTAGAGCGCTTCCTCCTGCCTAACTTTGACGAATCACTCCTTTTACCCTGATTTGGGTACTATGCGCTAAGGATATTGTCAATAGCCCTTTGTACGCAGTACGTAAACTTGTTGAACGCTCATGGAGTCAATGTTGCTGTTCCTCTTCCCCTTCCCCCCCTTCCACCCCTGTCTGACCCCCCTTCAAACTTCCCCCTATTTCTGTAATGCATTTGGGAGACATTACTTTGATTGCCTGGAACAATAATGTCTTTTGTTGTCAACTTTTACCTACCTGTTTCCGCTAGTAATGTATAGACATTTGTACTGTGACCCTCATCCATTTTTTCTTTTTTATGTCTTATTGCCACTTCAATGTCCAGCGTGCATTAGCAATGTCTTTGTTTGTTCCATTCTGATTTATTGTTAATAAAATTGTTTGAACAAGAAAAAAAGATACTAGTCCATCCAGTTCAACCAGAAAAAAAAAAAACACACACACACAAAATAGAAAACTTCCATGTACACCATCCTATACCACAGTTGATCCAGAAGACAGAAAAACCTCAATAAAGCATGGTACAATTTGCTCCAGCAGGGGAAAAAAAATTCCCTCCTGATTTCCCAAGTGGCTTTTGGATATTCCCTGGATCAACTTTCCCTCTAAATGTTACTATCCAGTTATATTCTGTGTATCTAGGAAAGAATCCAGGCCTTTTTTTTAAAGCAATCTACTGAGCTGGCCAGAACCAACTCTTGAGGGAGTCTATTCCACATTTTCACAGCTCTTATTGTGAAGAAGTCTCTCCGTATTTGGGGAATAAATCTCTTTTTCCTCCAGACGTAAAGAGTGCCCCCTTGCTCTCTGTGATGACCTCAAGGTGAATATCTCTACAGCAAGTTCCCCATATGGACCACTGATGTATTTATACATGGTGATCATATCCACCCCGCCCCCCTTTATCTCCTCTTCTCAAAAGAAAACACAGTGGCTAAATGGTTAGTATGGTTGGAGTACTAGGGTCATTGGTTCGAATCCCACCCACAGCACCATCTGCCTAGAGTTTGCATGTTCTCCCTGTCCTCTGTATGGGATTCTTTCCAGAACTCCAGTTTCCTCCCACACTCCAAAGACATGCTGGTAGGTTAATTGGATCCTGTCTAAATTGGCCCTAGTATGTGTATGTATGAATGTGAATTAGGAACCTTAGATTGTACGCCCCTTGAGGGTTAGGGACTGATGTGAATGTACAATATACAGTATATGTAAAGCGCTGCGTAAATTGATGGCGCTATATAAGTATCTGTAATAAATAAAATAAATTCAGTTCCTCTAATCTTTCTGCATAGTTGAGCTCCTCCATGCCTCTGATCAATTTGGTTGCCCTTCTCTGCACTTTCTCCAGTTTCCCAATTTTTTTTTTGTGAATTGGTGCCCAACATTGAACTGCATATTCCAGATGAGGTCTTACTAATGATTTGTACCGGGTGTGACAGTGCAAGTCTCTCTCACTGTGGAAATGGGTTTGAAAAGGACATAGGACTCTCAAACAGTCAGTTTGAGAGGCTCCAGCAAATGTTTTGCGAGCAGAGAAAGCTATGTTTTAAGCTTTCCCTGGATTTGGTAAGTCTGGATCGGAGCTGTAAGCTTGAAGGCTCCAAAGAGTATTGGATGGGCTGGAGTCTTTAGTCTTGTGTCCAGATTTTTCAGAAATTCTGCAGGGGGTATGTGTTTGTGTCCAGGTGCACACACTTGTTATAAGGCAGATCTTAGCATAGCTCATAAGTGGTGGAGATGGAATAGCAGTTGCTATTGCTGCAAGCCTGAAGACAGAGCCCTGTCAGGAGAGCTGGAAGCACTTGGTGGAGACTATAACCCTGATGAGGGGGATTCTGGGTGCAAGGACTGGGAAAGTCTGGCCAGTTACGAGAGTCTGGGAGACAGAGAGGGTCTGGGAGGCTGAGGAAGCTGCAGAGGCCAGTGAGTCCAAGTGGCTGGAGGGAATTCATGAGTCTCTGGAGGAAGAAAGCTGAGGTACAGGGAAAACTCTGTCAAGAGGCCATGTGGGGCCTGAACAGCAAGAAGCTGTTACCTAAGCTGAGAGAGCCTGAATAGCCAGTGGTCTGGGAGACCAAGCCAAGCAGAGGTACTGCTAACCAGAGAGCCAGGTGGCTCTGCATTTTCACTGTGTATTATTTTGAGTGAAGTTGAAACCCCCTTCGTGGAAAACCTTGTGTTCAAAGGACTTTTCAGTTACTGTTTAATAAAAATGGGCTAACAGGCCCTTAAGTTCAGTTCCTGTCTGGTGTGAACGCGCTAAAAAACCCTTCTACCACTGAGCTAAGCATCCCCCACATCACAAGGGGTAAAATATCTCTCTCTCTCTCTGGAGTCTATACCTCCATTTTTTTTTTTAATACAAGAAAGGATTTTGCGTGCTTTGGAAACCACAGATTGGCTCGGCATTGGTCACCAATGTAAGATGTATTTGTTCCACTGAGCCCCATTGGTTTTAGCAGGGGTTCCATAAGATCTGAACATTATTTATAGGGTTCATCAAGGGTTATGATGTTGAGAGGTTGCACTAGACCAGTGGCATGGCATTGGTCACCAATGTAAGACATATTTTTTCCACTGAGCCCCATTGGTTTTAGCAGGGGTTCCATAAGATCTGAACATTATTTATAGGGTTCATCAAGGGTTATGATGTTGAGAGGTTGCACTAGACCAGTGGCATGGCATTGGTCACCAATGTAAGACATATTTTTTCCACTGAGCCCCATTGGTTTTAGCAGGGGTTCCATAAGATCTGAACATTATTTATAGGGTTCCTCAAGGGTTATGATGTTGAGAGGTTGCACTAGACCAGTGGTGTCAAACTGGCCCTTGAGGCATTGCAAGGCTGACCATTAAAAGCATGCCTCCCAAAGGCATAGGCATGATGGGACTTGTAGTTTCTCAACAGCTGGAGGGCCATAGTTTGACAGCTGTGCACCAGACCCTTCTATTGTGCACCGGCAACCAACCCACCAATTGTTCAAGGTTTTGTCAATACAGATATCAAACTGTAAGAGACATAAAAGCGAAGCCTTCCAACATGGATTGGTAGCTTTTATCAGGACTCATGACACAACAAGGGCTTAATCTGCTGGAACAGTTGTGCATAAATGGCAAATTTTCGCTTATGACCATCTTAAGTGGAACTCCAGCCAAATGTCTTTTTGGATAGCATAGGAAAAGGTTTTTCTCAGGTTATTCTATTTGTCTTTGATCCTATTGAGAAAGATTAAACCCCAGTTCCTGTAAAGATGAAATGACAGTGGTCACCAGGACAGGGAGGGAGAACTCTCCAATGGGGACACAAGCAAAATCATCTCAATTGATTCAAACCCTCCCCTGCTACACTGGTGGATGCTTAGCTGTGACTGGACAATAGGTGGTATTGTAGGCCGTTGCTGTTTTGGTGGAAGTGGAATACAACACCAACAACAAATTGTTACTTACAAACACAGGTCCCCAAAAAGGAGTTCCACTTATAAGCGTGATAGCTAAGTGGGTGATGGCCAACACAATGCCGAGGCCAATCTCCAGGATGGCTGCCACAAGGACCACAATCTGAAGGAGAAAAGAACGAGGTTTAATTAGTTTGCAGCTGCATTTGTACAATACTCTGCTAAGTGCCATTGATATCTAATGGTCTGCTAGAGATAAATTAATAGATTTGCCCAGCTGATTAATCAACCCTGATGGGGATTCTTTCCAGTAAAGTTCAAGTTCCCCAAAGAACTTTTTCTCATTTTTTTTCATACCAAACGTCAGAGAACCATTTGTCATTCATGTGACATTTGGTAGAACCACTGTACAGTCTTATAGCTACCCAGTGCCAGGGCCAAATTGGTTGTTTTGCAGACTGGCTGGTAAGTGTTGCTGTGAAATCCTTTGTTTTCTATCCACCCAGTGTGAGCCTATGCCTTTTCACTCTGCTTATAAACCAATCCCTAGCAAATGTATGGTGTATTATGGCATTGTGCAGTCAAACAGCACATCCTTCAAGTAACCTTGACACATTTTTGAGTCTCTTTTTATCAGAACTAATTGCTCTGTTTTGAAGTGATGCTTTTATTCATTGACATACCTCTTTAGACCTAGTCTGTCCGGACAGTATGGTCACCTTCTGACTTGGCATTATCCACAGGCAGCTTAACTCTTCATTAAGATACAGTAGTTGAATCAAACACAATTTTACTTCAGCTAATTCCAGTCTTTTTAAGTGTAAAGAGACACTTTGCAGAGACAGGGCTTAGGAAAGTTGCTAACACTGACTGAGGGAATATAGAAGAATTGGGGAGGGTCTAGCTCGAACTAATCGAAAGACCCCACTCTAAACTGAACCCAGTGCTTGTAAAATATGTTAATTATGTGGCCGTAGCCAGTGCCTCTCCAGCCACAATCACTGACGCGTTTCACCCCATCCACAGGGCTTTGTCACAGTGGGTGGGGTAAAAAGTGTCAGCAGGGGGGAGCTGGCTGGAAAGGCACTGGTTGAGGCGACATAATCGAACACATTTTATCAGCCCTGGGTTCAGTTTTAAGCGGCGCCTTACACCTTATGTTCAAACCTTGTTGCAGATTCCTACCTTTTGTAATTCTGAAGAAATAGCTGTTTGCGTCTGTATGTACAAAATGAACGTGAAAGGGAGTGACTTCATAATTATCAGCTGCTGCACCTGCAGGGCTCTACTGAGGAAAGTGGCAGGGTCGGCATCCCTTTAGATGAGATTTCCCTTTGGGAGTATCTCACCAAAAAATGACATTTTTGTTGCAAGGGATGCACAAAAGCCGACCTGTATCTTAGTGCAGACTTCTGGGAAAATCAGTGAGCCAATCACACAAGCAGGAAATTACATTTGTATACAGAATGCCTCCAAGTTGCCATATTGAATTGCATTTTACAGAGCTGCAGGTTGAAAAGGAAAAATTATTTTTAATATCAAATTACAAACTGGCTTTTTCAACAAATGTATACATTATAATATTTTTTTATTTGCTATTTTTTTTTGCACAAAATGGGAGTTACCACCCTTTAAAACTGTTAATTGATATGCTGCCACCTGTGGTCATTGGTTTCACATGTGATTTTCTGGAATTCCTCCTGTACTGTTCTTGCAAGGCACACATTGAGACTTGGGAAAGAAAATATTCATTGTGACCACTTTAAAATATGTAAAACGTCACCTTCCAACAACACATTCAGTTTAAAATGGAAATGAAAGACAAAACATTTGTTTATAGATACTGTATATTAAAAAAATTATAAATACATTTTTCCCCCTTTTTTTTTTTTTTTATAAGTGATCACATGCTCAGCTGCATAGGGAACTTAGATAGTTGATGGAGGAGAAAAAGCAGCACACTGATCTTCCCAATGAATGGCTATACAGGGGGGGTTGTCAGGACAAGACTGATCAGTCGAGGAGAGCAAGCTGAGTTCCCAGCATAGCTAGAGAACTGACCACACTGTGCTCTTGTGCTTAGTCTGGTCAGTTACCACTTCCCGCCAACAGTACGCATATATATGGGCCGCATTACACTATATTGCCAAAAGTATTGGGAGGCCTGCCTTTACACGCACATGAACTTTAATGGCCCCCAGCCTTAGTCCATAGGGTTCAATATTGACTTGGCCCCGCCCTTTGCAGCTCTAACAGCTTCAACTCTTCTGGGAAGGCTGTCCACAAGGTTTAGGATGGTGTCTATGGGAAGGTTTGACCGTTCCTCCAGAAGCACATTTGTGAGGTCAGGCACTGATCTCGGACGAGAAGGCCTGGCTCGCAGTCTCTTCTCTAATTCATCCCAAAGGTGTTCTATGGGGTTGAGGTCAGGACTCTGTGCTGGCCAGTCAAGTTCCTCCACCCCAAACTCCCTCATCTTTATGGACCTTGCTTTGTGCACTGGTGTGCAGTCATGTTGGAACAGGAAAGGGCCATCCCCAAACTCTTCCCACAAAGTTGGGAGTATGAAATTGTCCAAAATGTCTCGGTATGCTGATGCCTTAAGAGTTCCCTTCACTGGAACTAGGGGGCCAAGCCCAACCCCTGAAAAACAACCCCAAACCATAATCCCCCCTCCACCAAACTTTACACTTGGCACAATGCAGTCAGGCAAGTACGGTTCTTCTGGCAACCACCAAACCCAGACATATCCATCAGATTGCCAGAGAAGCGTGATTTGTCCCTCCAGGGAACACATATCCACTGCTCTAGAGTCCAGTGGCAGCATGCTTTACACCACGTCATCCGACACTTTGCATTGCACCTGGCGATGTAAGGCTTGAATGCAGCTGCTCGGCCATGGAAACCCATTCCATGAAGCTCTCTATGCACTTTTGTTGTGCTAATCTGAAGGTCACATGAAGTTTGCAGGTCTTTAGCTCTGCAGACAGTTGGCGACTTCTGTGCACTGTGTGCTTCAGCATGCGCTGACCCCACTCTGTCATTGTACGTGGCCTACCACTTGGTGGGATTATAATAAAGTGGAAGCAACTGGGAACAACAGCAACTCAGCCACCAACAGTTGACTGTGAAATATTTAGTAGCAAGGAAATGTCACGGATGGACTTATTGCACAGGTAGCAACCTATCACGGTACCACACTTGGATTCACTGAGCTCCTGAGAGCGACCCATTCTTTCACAAATGTTTGTAGAAGCAGTCTGCATGCCTAGGTGATGATTTTATACCCCTGTGGCCATGGAGGTGATTGGAAGACCTGAATGCAATGATTTGGAGGGCAAGCCCAATACTTTTGGCCATATAGTGTATGTGTATCTGTCTTTTTGCTGGGATTGCGCTGCACAGCATGCTCCCAGCACAGAAAATAGGTTTTCAGCAGGAGCCCCGGGTCCCATACAAATGATCGGGACCCGGGACTCCCTGTTCCGGGTCACCTGATCACTGTGATAGCCTTTGATTGGCTATCACAGTGATCTGTCACTGTGCAGCCCAGCCCACCCGTGTGTAAACTGAAAGGAGAGAGAGGTACATTGTATCTCTCCATCCTTTGTAGAGTGGAAGCTATGTAAAGAAATGTGCATGTAAAAAAATCAAATAAGAAAAAATTGGCTGATCCAGGATAGACCTACGTCAGTGCCAGGGTTAGTGTTAGGATCAAGTTCAGGGTCAAAGGTCATGGACAATGGTCCTGGTCAGTATACTTCGGGCAGGATTGTTTTTTTTTTTTTTTTAAGCATTTTCAGCTTTAAGCGACTCATCCTTTGGATATATGTACTTTATTGATTAAAGGGTACAGTGTGCAAATACAGCAGCCTACACGTTTCAGTAAGAAGCCTTAATCATAGCTAAAAAACAACTCAGGACAAACAGATTTAAATACTAAATACATAGACAGACTCTTGTATAAAAACTCCTCCCATTGCAAATTCTCTACAAGAGTCTATATATTTAGTCTGTCCAGAGTTGGATTCACCACAGAGTCTGGAGCGGAACCTGGCTCAGCCTCTCTGAGAGCCGCTGAGACCTTGAGCCAGTCGATCCCTCTCTCTCCACAGTCCAGTGCTCCAGTGAGCTCTGGGGGGCAGAGCAGAGCAGTGACTGAGTCGCTGCTCTCTGCTCAGAGCAGCAATGAGAACTCAGCGATTAGCGGTCATGTGATCGTTGAGTTCTCACCCTTAGAGCTGCCGGGGGATAGATGCAGCATCAGGCCAATGTTGCACCCACCTAGGTAAGTATAATTTGGGGGAAAGAAAAAATCCAAACTTCTTTTAATACATTTATTACTGAGAAACAGGTTTGCTGTGGGTCCTGTATCTACCTGTTCTTCATCTCTACTCTCCCCTATACATCATATTATCCGTTGTAAAAGGACAGATACACTTTTTTTTTTTTTTTTTTTTTTAGATGTGGTTCTCACGTTTCTGGCCTTGTTGTATGACTTATCTGTCTGCTGTACGGTCACCTTTAATACTTACTCCCAGAGCCTTTGGTTTACCCTTCAGAAATGTTTGGAAAAATGGTAAAGATGGGTCCATATTTTGTGGTACGATGGCGGACAGATGCCATTGTGGTGCCACAGTGGGTCCACTCCATGTCTGGGTTGTAGGAGGGACATAGTAGACGTTGGACGGAGGACTGACATTCTGAAAGAAAGACGCCACAGGCACATTGGACACTGGGACAGAGGATGGAGTGCTGCTCATTAGAGTCTCATAGCAAGGAGGTACATCTTCATATGCAGGGGCTGACATCATGAAATCTAAAATAGAAAAAAGATGTTCAAAAAGGTAAAACCAGGATTAGGTACTTTCCCAAATATATCAACATAACAGTGCTGCAATATTTTACTAAATCGCTGTATAAGGAGAAGGATCTTAATATAAAAATACATTTTTTTTAATAGTTTTAGATACAGAATGGTTAAAACCCATATCATCTCAAACAATGTTATTGGCTTTCCAAGCTATCTTCTTTGAATGGCACAGCTTATATAATGAGATGAGGAGAAAGGAAGGTGTTTTTGTAGTCCAAATCGAGAGCGCAGTCTAGGGAAGCATTTCTCAACCAGGGTGCCGCAAGGATTTCCCAAGGGGTGCCGCAGGAAAATTGCCAAAATATCCCCCAGTCTATGTAAAATAGATTTTTCTCACCACCAGCAATGTTTCCTTCCTTCTTTACAGTGGTGCCGGCCTTCTGAGTAAAAAACGCATGCAGATGTCACCAGCACTTGAGAAGCTCCGCGGGCAATCCGCCCGCCTCCTGGCAACCGATGACATCATCACATCCCACATTGCTTTCTGGGAGTGTGGTAAGCGACCTTCTCTAGCTGCAGTGGTGGACAGAACTCTTCTGTCGGCAGATGAGGCGGCACATGCAGGCATGTGAGAGGGCAAAAAAAGACACTGCTTTTCTTCGGCGAGCTGCATGAGTTCTGGGAGGTACAAACTATAATAATAGAACTATAGCAGCAGATTTGGTGATTGGTTTCTATGTAATCAACTATAAAAACAATTAAAAAAAAAAAAAATATATATGATTTTGCACACACCGGCCGCCCTGTAGCTGTAAAACTGCTGTAGGGTGCCCAGTAAGTGGTTATGTAGGGATCTTCTGCCCTCTACTGTCTGTAAGTGGCTCTGCTGCTTAACCACTTGAGCTCCAGAGGATTTACCCCCCTTAATGACCAGGCCTCTTTTTGCTACTTGGCGCTGCACTAATTCAACTGATAATTGTGCGGTCATGCAATGCTGCACCTAAACGAAATTTACGTCCTTTTTTTCACACAAATAGAGCTTTCTTTCGGTGGACACTTCCTCACTACCTATCACAGTTTCGAAGGCCCTGACATGCCAGGATAGCCCCAAACCCCCCCAAATGACCCCTTTCTGGAAAGTAAACACCCCAAGGAATTTAAAAAAGAGGCATGGTGAGTATTTTGCAGATCTCATTTTTTCTCACAAGTTTTGAAATATAAAAAAAAATGTTTTTGTTTTTTTTCTTTCCAAAAACTTGTGGCAACAAATGAGATCTGCAAAATACGTACCATGCCTCTTATCAAATTCCTTGGGGTGTCTACTTTCCAAAAAGGGGTAATTTGGGGGGTTAGGTGCTATCCTGGCATTTCAGGGCCTCCGAAACTGTGATAGGTAGTCTGGAAGTGTAATGAGGAAATAAAAGCCTTTAAAAGCCTGAAAGGTGCTTATTGGATTTTGGGGTCCTGTACTTGGCTAGACTGCCAAAACGTCTCTCACATGTGGTACCCCCATACTTAGAAGAAGTAGCAAAATGTATTTTGGGGTAATTCCACATATAAACCATGGCATGTGTGAGCAGTAAATAATTTTAAGTGACAATTTTGTGTAAAAAAAAAAAAAAAAATTATTTTTGTCATTTTCCAAAAACTTGTGGGTAAAAAAATAAATTCTTCTATTGATTCAACATTCCTCTTAGCAAATAGTTTGGGGTGACTACTTTCCAAAAAGGGGTCATTTTGGGGGGTGGGGGCGTTTTATGCCCAGCATTAGAAGTTTATGCCACACTTCATTCACTCTTCTAAACACCTGAAGACCAAGCCTTTTTGTTCACATGAAAACAATCAGTATTTTTTGCTAGGAAATTAATTTAAACCCCCAAACATTATATATTTTTTTAAAGCAGGCACCCTAGTGAATAAAATGGTGGGTACTACACAATTTTTTATGGCACATAGTACTCGCGCAGCGATTTTTCAAATGCAATTTTTAAAAAAAAAATACACTTTTTTTACTTTTAATGCACAAAAACACAATATATTGGCCAATTATTTGTTAAAACATGAAAGATAATGGTATGCCGAGTAAATAGATACCAAACATGACATGCTTTAAAACTGCGCATGCCACGTTCAATGGCGACAAACTGCAAACATTTTTAATATCCATAGGCAGCGCTTTAATAGCCTTTAAAAGCCACCATTTTAGATTTACAGAGGAGGTCTACTGTTAGAATTACTGCCCTTGATCTGACGTTCACGGCAATACCTCACATGCATGGTTCAACCTCTGTTTACATAACGGCACAGAGTCAAGGCTTGTGCACACAGGTGTGCACACATGGGAGGGGCAATTTTTTTTTTTTTTTTTTATTTTTTTTTTTTTTTAAATTATTTTTACATTGTACCATTCATTTTTTTTTTTTAAATCACTTTTAATGCTATAACAGGGAATGTAAATAACCCCTATAACTTCAATGGGCATTGTCACATATTCTTTTTTGAGAAATCTGGAGTCTATCAGACTCTAGATATCTCCTCTGCTCTTACATTATCTAATCAAACCAAAATCGGTGTGATCAGATGCTTTCCCAATTTACAAATGGCGCTGTTTATATCCTGCGAAACTGAAGTGATGAAATGCTTGTAGCTTCCGAATTCTTAGACTATAGAGATGATTGGCATCATTCTGGTGTCCAATCAGCTCTATGGTCAGCTGGCAGAAACACTGGCTGCATTCTCAGGTTCCCCCGATGGCACGAAACTGCCCGAGAAGGCCGTGGAAGGCAGCGGGGGAGGGGGGGACATAATCTTCCACTGCTTGTAAAAGCAATCTTGCAGCTAATTAGCCACTAGGATTGCTTTTACATGAAAGTCGATCACCGGCTGAAAAAAACGATACCAGGATGATGCCTGCAGCTGTAGGCATCATCCTGGTATAACCATTCAAATCCAGTGATTGTACCAGTACGTCGCTGGTCCTTGTTGGGTATATATGCTATGTTCTTTTTTTTTTTTTTTTTGTATGCAGCCTGTGGACTGAATGAAAAAATGAGAAGAAATATCTGCCAGAAAAAGTGTGTGGTATGCCCACCATTAGAATATACCGCCCTGCATCCACCCACTTCTAATGGTGGGCACACATTAGGTCACACTTTGCCACAAGTGCCAGTTCCAAGATTGAATAAATGTCTAAATAGTGGCACGCTTGAATAAAAATTGTCCACGTATAAGTGGTACCCCGTATGGAGAAATGATGACACCAAGTCCCAAACTGCTCCCCATGTAGTCTGGGCATCCGGGGGGCTCCATGTGACTATCTTTTCCTCGTAAATCCAAAACTTATAAGTATAGCCTGTTGTCCTCTCACAGGTCTTCTACTTCTTGACCCCATATCTGGCACGCTTGCAGGGGAGAAATTGTTTGAATGCAAGGCGGCCAGAAAAAATAATAAGGGACTCATCAACGCAGATGTTTTGCTGGGGAGTATAGGCATCTGCAAACTTTAGGGTAAGGTGATTTGCGAGGGGCTGAATTTTGTGGAGCCGGTCAAATTCAGGGTTACCCCGAGGATGACAGAGTGTATTGTCGCTGAAATGCATAAAACACATTATACTCTCATATCTATGCCTGGCCATGGCAGCAGAGAACACGGCATATGATGAATGGGGTCTGCGGACCAATACAACCGCAATTCATTTCTTTTAGTAATGCCCATGTTGAGGGTTAGGCCCAAAAAAAATTTAAATTTGAAAACCGTAATGAGTTTCCATGCGAATGGTCTGGCAAGGTTTGAATTTGGGTTGGCGGCGATAAAATTGTTGTGCATATAGACTGCTTTGATCCACAATCAACGCATACAGATATTCCGTGAAAAACAGCTCCAAAAATCAAGGAGGTATGTGAAAGACCAAGATGTACTAGACCGCTGGTACTCCACCAGTTCACCAAAAGGTAGAGCGGCACTAGTACTGGCACTCTGCTGCATATGAGAGTCATCAAAATTTACCGACAAGTGCTAACAGAGATCAGGCCTGATTCTGGGAACACTGCGGTTTTGTGTGCAATGAATCAAGTGACAGTGATCTACTGACACTGCACTTGCTGGGGGAGAAGGGGGGGGTAAGCGTAGGGGCTTAACGCAGGTGTTGGCAGGTGCAGGGGCTGATCCCGCTAACGCTGCGTTTTTGCGGACGCTATACTAATGTGAATGCTGGTATAGTGCTGACCTGATCAAAGATATTGACCCATTCAGACACTATACTAGCAATGGAGGTTTATTGTACATGGGCGTGCTCCTGGCAATCAAGGGGTTAAATGTGATGACTGGTGTACTGTCGGGCAATATGACGCTATCTGGGAGGGGTGTGAAAACCACGGGAGCGCGAATTACGTATATATATATATATGTGATTTTGCGTACCCATGCCGCCCTGTAGCAGTATTTCTGCTGTAGGGTGGTAAGGAAGCGGTTACAGAAGAGGTTTGTGTTATGGCGCTGCGTTACTTTAACTGACGATTGCGCGGTCATGCAACACTGCACCCAAATTAAATTTACATCCTTTTTTTTCCACAAATTGAGCTTTCTTTCGGTGGTATTTGATCGCCTGTGCGTTTTTAATTTTTTTGCGCTATATAAAAAAAAAGGCTGACAATTTTGAGACAAAAAAAACAATATTTTGGACTTTTTGCTATAAAACATGTCCAGTAAAAAAAATTAAAAAATCAAATTTTGGCACAAATTTCATCCAAAATGCATTCTGCGACATGTCTCTGCTAAAAAAAAAATCCCAATACGTGTAAATTAATTGGTTTACATGAAAGTTATAGCGTTTACAAATGGCGGGAAAGATACTGGGATTTTTTATTTTATTTATACTAATAATGGTGGCGATCAGCGACATATGACGGCGATCGAGCGACTTATGGCGGGACTGCGGGACTGTGGCGGACATTTTGACACTGGGGGGGAACTGACTTGGGGTCACTGACATCCCCAGTGAC